TTGAATAGCGGGGTAGAAATTGTATTAATGTTATTGAAAGTTGTATTAAGAATTTCATTGAAACCAATTTTTTTTATTTTGGGGTTTTTTCGCTGAGAAATGAATTTTAAATTTCCAATTCATGAAATTTTAATCAGAATGAACAGTTTCGGCAAAAATGAAAGCGAAAGAGAAAAAGAGAGAGAGAGAATAATTGAAGATAGAGTAAAATGAAGAACAGAAAAAGATGGATAAATATAAAGTGAGAGAGAAGGTAGAGGAGTTCGTTTTATCTATGTCACATATGTTGATCGACTTACCATCGATAAATATTTTCTGGACCATCTTTGACCATTCCATCATTTTTTGTTTCACTTTGCACTCCTGGATTTTTTATTTCAAGTTAGTTTTATATTTTCACTCAAGTTTAACTGTATATTTTCGTTAATTCTTCGGTTGGTTTTTTAATTTCATTTCACAAATTTTTTACAGCAACAATTTTTGTCAGTTCTGTCTCTTTAGTTTTTTAATTATTTTTTTTTATTTTTTTTATTTTGCATTTTGTTAGCATTTGAAAATTGTTCATTTATTTTTCATGAGCAAACTCAAAAAAAAAAATTAATTTTACGGTTGTCAACTTTGAAAAAAAATTTTTTACCTCTTGTGGAATTTTCTTTCTAAATAAAAATTTGTTTTTACGATTCAAAATTCCGCTAATACTTTTCAGATTTTAGTTAATTTTTTGAAAAAAGTACATTCAAAGATTTATAAGTAAATTTCTTCATACAATGTTGATGAAATAAAAAAATTTTCCACCATGCCAACATATCGAAATCGAAAAATCTCAAATAAATAATGCGTTATACACTATGAAATAAATCTATTAACTACTTTATAATGTTATTTAGAAAAGTTGTAATGCTTTATTTGCTGAAAGCTTTTGAACACTACATTTACACATTCTTATTTGCGTTCTTTTTTATATATTAATTTTCAGTCGCTAATTAAAATCATCTCTCATTATTTTATGTACGTGAACAAAATCGAGTTATTTAACGTTGAGCGAGTTTACAGAAACAAAGAGTTCGCCATGAGCCAACCATGTTGGTCGTTCGTAACCGTCGTAGAATGGTTAGAAGCGAGCAATATAACAATATCTTGTTATCTTAAATATAAAAATAAAAATTTTATTACTGTTATTATCACTTCGATATTTTGTTTATAAATATTTTTATTTTTGGATTTTATTATTTGTTTCATCTTCCATCTTAATTAACAACGACATCGATCAATCATTACTGCACGCCTCTCTCTCTCTCTCTCTCTCTCTCTCTCTCTCTTTCTTCCTCTCTTTTTTTCACTTTCTTTCTTTCTTTTCTAATTCTCTCTTCTCCCTATTCTTGAAATTTCTTTCCATTTGTTGCTCTCACCACCTTTGTCTTTTTCTCTTTAGATGCCTCTTTTTATAAATCTATCTGAAAATGTTTGTATGTTGTTTTGTATGTTGGTTTAACGTTTCGTTTGTTTGTATATGTTTGTGTGTTAGTTCATATGTTAGTTTGTATGTCGTTTGTATGTTTGTAGTTTGTCGGAGCAGAAAGATTCTTGTGGAAAGAACAAACAAGGTTTTGATTTAATTCTCTGTATTACATTACGCTCCATATCCTCCTCGAGTGATTTGTAAGAGTTCCTAGATGTTTCGCTTGCTACTATGTTTGTGTCTGTTTGTTTATGTGTATGTGCGTGTGTGTGTGTGTGTGTGTGTGTGTGTGTGTGTGGGTTTAGTTGTGTTTGTGTTTAAGTGTGTTTGCATATGTCTGTGTATTATGTTTGTGTAGGAATTTGTTTGTTGATGTTCTTATTTAAATGTGTAATTTTACTTTTTAAATACTGGTTCATTTGTAAGTTTAAGATATCTATATATATATATATAATCTTACAAATATATATAAGTATTTGTTTGTTATCTGTCTACAGATTTTTATGTGTCTTTTTTTCAGTTATGCTATGAAAATACTTATTTTTATTTGTCTGTATGATTGTTTCTACGGGATTACGTTTTTGCTTTGCTTGGACGCTTCTTTGGAATGAAGTTTATTATTCAAAATTTCCACAAGAACGAAAACTTTTAATAATTCTGTTTTATGCTGAAAGTATCATATTTTGAGTTTGGGTATGATTTTATGATATATAGTTTTTTCTGAAGATTTTGATGGTTTTAGGCGATCGTACCACAGCAATGACTCATTGTATGTTTAAATAAATTAATCTTTTCTCTCACTACTTAATTCTTACAAAAAATAACGTTTTTTCAACAAACAGAAGTTTGCATGTTTGTATTCAGTGTTTCGTTTTTTTGTCAAATGTTAGCGTGCCCTTTCTGATCAGTTTAATTGTTCTTCAATGGTGGTTTAGATTTCTACTTCGTTTTGTTGAAAGGGTAGTTCCTTCTTTGTTTTGTATAGAGTGTACTTACAATTCTTTTTTTTAAATATTTCTAAAGTTTTAAACCTCGAAAAGTTTTTAAACCTTGTACGAGATTCAACAATTAATTGACAAATGGAGCATGGAGAAAAAAAATCTGGTTCAATTTGTTCCTCTTTTTTGTGTGGATTAAACAACACTGACAAGTTTTTAGTTAGTTTGTTTCTATTGTTATTATGTTTACAATTCATTTATTTCTGTTTTTTGAACAGTAGCTTTTTATTGCATGTTCAAGTAAGCACGTGTTTTTTTACACGTTTTGATTTTATAATCTGTTTCATATTTTTTGGTTTTTGTTTCGCTTGGTTCACTTTCAGTTAACGTCTTGGTGGCCTTGGTTATTGATATTTACTGACCTTGAAAAGATTTCTTAACTCGGTCGGGGGTATGATGGCTTATCTGTCTGGCACTGCTGTTGAAGGGTTAGTGGTAAAATGCTGAATGATCACCACCGATTCAAGTTAGGCAAACTGGATGGTGGACAGGACTGAAAAATGTAGAATGTATCCCTGTCAAAGTGCTTTCAAAAACTTATAATGGAAAAGGAAACTCTTGAAATTTTAATAAAAATGAAATATAAGTACTAAGAAAATGACACAAATTTTGCAAAAGTTAATTAGAAAACTTTTAAAACAGGAGAAAAATTAGGAGAAACTTTAATTTTTGATGAGTTGCTGACATGGAGTTAAAATTATTTAAACGCCCTCCATGGAATTATGTACAGCACTAAATAAATTTCTCTTTACACAAAAATGTGTGTGTGTGTGTTTGTGTATGTTCAAGTGTCCGTGTGTATTTGTGCGTGTCTATGACTGTGTATTTATATGTTTTTTGCATTTTTTTTTGTTCAAAGTGCAAATCTAAAATGTCGGTACATATTTGAGAATGTATATGCGTGCCTGCTTGTGTTTGTAATTGTATGTTTGTATACTTGTGTGTGCGTGTGTGTGAGTGCGTGCGTATATGTGTGTGTGTGTGTTTGTGTGTGTGTTTGTATGTTATGCAGTATACAGTAGAGAAATATTTCAAAGTGACAGTTATGTTGTTATTGATCTGTGTCAGATTTAACAATGAGAAAGCGAGTCAGTCGACTGGGAAGAAGGAAATGAGGAAAAGTTAGATTAACAGCGGTAATAATTGTGAATTTATGGATGGCGATATTGATTTTTATAACAAACATTTATGACAAAAATTTTCTGCTCGCTTCATCCAAATTGATGTAATCGAGGATGACAATAACCAAGAGTAATTTTAATCAGTCAAATACATATTAAGATGGCTACTGATATATAAATGTCATCAACAACTACAACATCAACTATTGCGTTAGCAATAATAACAATAACAACATTAACAATGATGATAACAACAATAACAACGACATCAAGCTGTTGTTATTGTTGTTGTTTTTCGTATAAAATTTCGAATGTGTATAATCAAATTGTATGAATAGCCATGATCTTTTCAATCATTCATTCACACCTTTGTTCAATACTAATAAAATCGCTTGATAAAAAGAAACCGGAAAAGGAAGAAGAAAATGGAGAAAAAACTTGAATGCAAAGATAAAATGAGGAAATTGAAAAAAAAATTATATTGAATATAAACGAAAAAAATTTTCAAAAATAGAAAAAAATCCATATAAAAAAAATTTTCAACATTTTTGAAAATGTGGCTGCGTTTTTTTGAAGTTTAGTTGGTGTAGTTTTGTGTTATGGTTGTTTTTTGAGTGTGTGTGCGTGTGTGCGTGAGTGTGTGTGTGAGTGTGTGTGCGCGTATTAGTAACCTGAAAAACACGTTTCCTTTCAATGTTTCAACTCCGCCTTTTTTAAATGAAGCCCCTTGTTAATGCTTGTTACGGTGAAGATGACGCTGAAGATGATGAAAAAGATGATGATGATGATAAAGATAAAGGTGAAAATTATGATGACGATGATAATGATGACGACGATTGCAATGGCAAAAAGATGACAATGATAAAAAGGACGACGATGATATTGGTGATGATTATTGCCTTTTTTATTCATTCATTCATACAGTCATCATTTTCCATTTTATTCATACATTCGTTCGTTTGTTTGTCCGTCTGTCCGTCTGTTCGTTCGTTCGTTCTTTCATTTATTCATTCAATCATTCATTCATTCATTCCTTTTTTCATTCTCTCATTCATATGTAGTCAGCAGAGAACAAATGATAAGAATGATTGAATGTGGCGATGAATATTAATGATCTGTAGCATCACGACCTGATTACTGGTAGGATTTATTTCATTCTGTGTGCACCGACTAAGATAAAGAAATTATCTATTGATGGATTGATGGATGGATTGATGGATGGATTGATGGATGGATGAATGGATGGATGGATGGATGGATGGATGGATGGATGGATGAATGGATGGATGGATGGATGGATGGATGGATGGATGGATGGATGGATGGATGGATGGATGGATGGATGGATGGATGGATGGATGGATGGATGGATGGATGGATGGATGGATGGATGGATGGATGGATGGATAGAAATATCGATTGATGAAGGTTAGAGATATTGCATACACAACCATCAAAAATGCAAATCTCGACCGAGAAAGATTTGAACAATCCCGTCAACAGATTTTCGACAAAGTCTACAACACAGGAATGTACCTCGTCTTCATGCTCCTACTTCCTCTCCTCATTCTCATCTGGATTGACACTCAGCTTTTCTTCGCCCTCAAAAAGCTGAAACGAAAACGCGCCGAAATTCGACACCAGCAGACCTCGCGTCAGCAGCAGGACAACAACGTCACGCTCGTACTCGTCATCATCGTCGTCGTCCTAATCGTCTGCCAGTCGCCAGCCCTCGTCAACCACATTTTGTGGGTCGTCCTTGAGAATGAAGACAGGGAGTGTGGCGGGGTGCAGTATTATTTCAGGTTCGTTGTTCCGACTCCTTCATTTACTACTCTTGATACTTTGCATCGTTTTGTCTTGACCAACTTAGCGTGAAACTATTTTTTTAATTCTATATACTCTAGATCTATAAACCATAAAATCATGTAACACACATCAAAACAACATACACAAACACACACACAAACGACGCACACACAGACACACACAAACACACGCACTCACACACACACGCACACAGGAGGATTAGCAACGTCATGGCGACGCTGAACTCAGCCGTCAACTTCCCAATCTACGTCCTCTTCAACAGACGCTTCAGGCGCCTTTTCCTACAAATTCTCCCATGTCTGGCCCCCTACACCGCGGACAACACCAGCCTCAACCAGGTCCCTGACGCTGCCACGGCAGTCCCGCAGCAGACCGTGCTTGGCCCACTGGACAGGACCTCCTTCTGTCTGAGTCGTGGCCACAGAAACAGCAGCAAGCTATTGATGGCGAATAACAACAGCAGCAACAATAACAACAACAACAACAATAATAATAATAATAATAATAATAATAATAATATTGAAAATAGTAATATAAATATTAACGATGATAAAACAAAAGACGAAGGAGGAGCGAATGAAAACAAAGATGGTATTTATTTGGCAGTGAATAATAATAATAATAATAACAACAACAACAATAATAATAACAATAATGTTGCAAACAGAAACAATAGTTCGGTAACATATATCGACATTGTTAAGAATGTTAGCAACGGCAACAAAGGTGACGAAAAATCAACAGGAAGCGATGGTAAAAATCTGAACAACAACAACAACAGAAATATCAACTACAGCAATCCATCGACCAGCCAACAAGACCAACTCGAAACAACGACAAACACAAACAACAGCATCATCGACAGTAAAAAATTATTATTAAAACTTAATAAAGCAAACACGGGCGATGATGATGAGGAGGAGGTAGACAATGACGATGCTGATGAATTCATAGAGCTCCTACCTATGAAGCGAGATACAACACCACAAAACGCTACGGACAACCATAGCGAAAAGACAAACCCTAACTATGACGCCATCAACAACAACAACAATCGAGATAGCACCGCCGAACCAAAGATTATGAATCATCCAATCGATAAAAATTTCAAAATAAATTTCGGCAAAACTCTGGGCTCAGTCTCGTCGGATTATGAAAAAAGCTCCCTGATTTGTAACGTTGAAACGTAGTTATTGATTTCACAACATAATAATTTATATTAATTAATTGTGAATAATTATTGAAAATAATAACGCGTAATGATAATTGATTTCAATTAATTTAAACGTACTAATGTTTAATTATTTTAATATCATTTCGAAAATAAGGAATTCTTTATTTTCTTCTAATGTTTTATGACACGACATGGTTAATTATTTCTAAATAGTTGATTTGTATTTTTATAAATGAGGCCGTATGTTGTTATATAAAATTTTAGCTAAGATTAGTTAGTATAAATATAAATTTTCATCATCTTCACCATCATCTTCACCATCATCTTCACCATCATCACCATCATCTTACATATCACACACATTACGCTATCTTCATATAGAGATCTTTAACATGAAGTTTTAGTTGTGTTTTAATCCGTCATTGTTCATATTTCATTTGAATTATTCTAAAGTAATTAAAAACATAAAAACATTATTCATTCACTCACTCGTTCATTTACTCATTCATTCATTTATTTGTATATTTATTCATTTAATTTTTAAATTCAGAAAAAATGTTAAATAAAATTGTTGTATATTTATAATAAGTTGAAAAAAACATCATCATCGCCGTGGAGTAAAATTAATCTTAAACATACAACTAATCAACTTTTCCATGCTCTTTCAAGTGAAAGAAAATTTATTTTGAGAAAAAAATTTATAAAGTTGAAAATTTTCTCATAAACATTCACACACAAACACATATACACACACACACGCACATACGCATACATACACACACACACACACAAACAAACATACACACACTTAGATACTGAAACGTACAAAATACAAAACAGCCTTTGCTGAACCTAAATGATTTTGAATCGAATTGAACAAACATACATGCAATGCAACTTATTGACAGACGCATACAAACATACAGAGAGAGAGAGAGAGAGAGAGAGAGAGAGAGAGAGAGAGAGAGAGAGAGAAAGAAAAGGTGAAAAATATAAAGATAAACAAGATAACTATATAAGTTAAACAGTATTAATGAGACCTTTTAAGATTTTTTAATTATATTTGAACACTTCGAATGTATATAATGTCATATGAGAAAATTCAGAGTTTGGCACGTAGACGTGTATGTATTGTATGTTCTAAATTTTGTGCTATTGATATCGGTAAAAGAATGAATGAATGAATAGATGGGTGAACGAACGAACGAACAAACGAACGAACAAACGAACGAATGAATGAATGAACGAATGACTGAATGAACGAACGAACGATTGAATGAAGGAATGAATAAATAATATCGTAAACTACATTTTTGTAGATATTACAATCTTATGATCCCTGACAATATAATATTTGCTAATATATTTATTGTTTGAAATTTTTTTAAATAATATAGTTAGTTGCATTGGTATCTATCATGCTTATATCTGAAATGTGAACATGAAAAATTGCTCGCATAGTTTTAGTGAATTTTGTGCAATAAATAGCGAAGTTTTGTGAGTATTCTTTTATTTGTCGTCATTTGTCATGAGTGTCTTTATTTGTAAATGTCATCTATCGTGAATTTTTTACTCTTCAAAAGTTTATAGTTGTTAAATGTTTCATTTTTTTTTATAATTTTTTAAATTAGTAGTTTGATGTGCAGTGTTTTGTTATTAAATGATGAAATGATATTATTTAAACAATAAGCCAAAATCGAGAAAATTGTTATGTTGTTACTATTATTATGTTATTATATTGCTATGTTGAAAGTTGTTACTTTCAGGCATTTTTTGATAAAAGTTGACTGAAAATCTTTGTTTAGATGAATTGTTCAATGTTGCAAATATGATTGCTGTGGTAATAATTTTCAATAATTCTCCTACATTGATGACTTTGTTTAAAATTTACGTGTGTATAGCATGTTTATTATATTCAATGTTCATATGTTACGTCAAGTATGGGCAAACTTTTTGCTGTGAGTGGGGCAACAAAATGTGGGGCTCCATTTTTGGGGATGTCCCGTGCCAATGGCCTTCCCACCCCTGTCTTGTTTTAAATCCTGCTCTTATGGTATAAAAATATACTTTCAAAGTTCGCTAACCTTTTTTTGTAAACTTTTCATCACTTGCCAGGAAACTAATCATTAGTTAGTATCTAAAAATAACTTACCTGTTTTTTCCAAGAAATTATCAAATAATTTGTACTCGTTACTGAATACAGTAAATTTTTAAAAAATCATTAAAAAGTTTAAAATGTCAAAAAGTTTTTTCGAAAGAACTACTAACATAAAAAATTTTCGAAAAACAATTTAGAACTTTTTAAAACAAGACACATTTGATTCGCAATTAAATTTAGAAGTATCGCTACATTCAGTTGTCAGATGAAAATTCTTGCTAAAAACTATTCAAAGCAACTGCTAGTAGAATTACTTTTTCAAATTGCTTTCCATTGAGTCCTTAATAGTTATACAAATTTGTGTTAGAACAAAAAAAATGATGTTTGTTCAATAATGAAAGGACACAATTTAAAACGACACTGCTTTCTTGATTCAAACCTTTATAAAGTTTTTTTTATTATTTTCATCTCAAACTTTAAATGGATATAAAAAGAAGACAACACTGAAAATAATAATTATACAAAAAAATTGTTATTACTAATTTGTTTAACAACATTATGTCGTACAATTGAAATGAGATTAACAAATTTCAACAATTCTGAAAGAACTCCGAGATTAATAAAATAACTTGGAATAAATAATTTGGTAAGAAAACGGTTGAGAGTGTGTGTGTGTGTATGTGTGCGTGTATGTTCGTGTGTGTATGTGTGTGTGTATATGTTTGGCAAATTGTTTACAAAAGTTTTAAATCAGTTTTATGATGCATTGGTAAATTATCTCTACTTCTGCAGAATTTATAAACAATCGGAATCTTATATTTATACAAATATGTATATATATATATACATTTTTTAGTATAGTTTTGCAAAAAAAACTTTTTAACTGAGAGAAAAAACTAATGTATTTGTGTTTATTTGTATAAATTGGTCCTACTCGCTTAATTTAATTAGTTCAAATTGATGTCGTTTTTTGAAAAAACAAAAGTTTTATTTTGTTTTTCGTGATCATTAGTTTATTTTAAATTAGATTAAAACTAGTAGAGAAACGGGTTTTTTTTATTTAAAGTTTATTCTTTAATATTGATAATTAATTAACTTTAATTAATAAAAATTTACGATATTGAAAAAAAGTGTTTTTATTTTTGAAATTGTTTGATCCTATGGAGAAATGTCATTGATGTCTGTGATGTTGTTGATGTTTTTTGATGTTGTTTGAATTGTTTTTGTTTAAGTTTTTTACACCGCTGTAATGTTGGTGTAGATGGAAGAGTTTTTTATTTTTAGTTTTGGTTGTTTTATTTCAGATTTTCACTTCAGCGTCATCATCATCGTTCTTGTTGTTGTTAGAATATATTACCAAGTTGATGTCACGTAATTAATGTTGTTAATTCGTAGCTGTAAACAGCATTGTTCATCATTATATATATATGTATCAAAGTATTTTCATTGAGTTGTGAATGTCCTATTGTCATTATGGTTTGTGTTAGCGTGATGTTGTATTTAGCATATGATATATCAACTTCTCGATTTTAAAACTGTCAATCCTTTTTCACCTAATATAAACTAGAACTTTTTCAAAGTTTGTATGTATATCTAGATATTGTTATATAAGACATTGCAATGTTTGTTGAATTAAAAATATTTGCCATATGATTTTCTATGTTTATGAACACGAAAAACAGAAAAATTCAAGCGATATAATGTTGATACTATATATATAACCAGAATGAGTATATGAATGTGATAATTAGAAACCGTTTTGTATCGTATCGTATCGTAGAACTGGTATAGCGCCTTTCATGAATTGATTTCAGACCTCACTATCTTCACTTTAGAAAGTTGACTATAAATTGAGATGTTTTATCATCGTCAGCCTAACTTTATCTTCGTCATTTCATCATTATCATCATCATTATCAGAATAATGCATTGAAATAAATAGTTATTTTCATTAAATAAATTCATTTTCATCGTTATTATGAAAGTTCATAATTTATAATTAACTTCACATATATTGCTTTCTCAACGTCTGCATCATCAGCTGCCATGAATGCGTCGTTCTTAAATAAAATTTTAATGGAAAAACACGCAAAAACTGTTGATTTGTACATATTTAAATTCCCACTAGAATACCCGCCACATTAAAAACTGAAAGAAATTTCTCAAAAAAAAAATGCTTCATAAACACTCAACCAGGAAAAAAGTGCCAAGATTATTCAATATTCATGATCAAAACTTAAAAAATGAGTTTGGACCTATTCGCTTTTTTACTCATACACACACATCGACACACACATACACATATCGACACACACATAGCCACATCGACATATACAAACAAACACACACACACATCGACACATACATACGCACGCACACACGCATACTTAGTTGGCGTTTTATGAAAACAGATAACGCATTATTAATAATTCATACCATGCCACAATACCCTACTCACCAACATTATTTACACGAATTTTTAATTTGAGAAAAAAAAAACCATGACACATTTTTCATGCTAATTACATCTTTTCTTATACACACGCGCACACATACATACCATACATACACGCATACTTACACACACACACACAAATAGCTAACACGTACCGAATATAAACCATCATGACTGCATCAACATTTGCAACTAATAACATGAACGGATTTATTTCCAAATCACAACAGTACAAAACATTACCACATCAACAAAACAACATCAACAAAACAACAACACATAAACAACGACACATAAACAACGACACTACAATCAACAACACAAAATTTGCGGGTTGAGCGACGGCACAATGGTTAACATCTACGGCACTGTTGATGCAGAGAAACTGGTTTCAATTGCAAGAAAAATCTCCACTTATCACATGCAATGTGCGCGAGGCGTTGGATCACGGTGTATTCACATAC